GTTAAAAGTTTTCCTTTTATTTAACTTCTGCAAGTGTGTGTTTTGTCACTCGTTTATGCAAATTTATATTTTGCATCTCTACTTACAATTTTATTATTTGTTATACTTTACTACAAGTTGACACATTTTTGAATCTGCTAGAATATTAAATCTGGTATGTATAATTGAATCTGTTATATTCATAGTTGTTGAATCTGCTAGTGCATATCTGGTAAGTGCATATCCCGTTAACGGCAAATACGGTGTGAGTCTTCCACTTATGGCAAAATTTCAATTTAGTAAGGCGTGCCCACGTCTTAAGTAAAATTGACAGAATTTTAATTCAGTAGGGCGTGCCCACGCCTTAAGTAAAATTCACTAATACGATATCTATTCTGCATATCCGGTACTCAATTAGTAAATTCGATATTCAGTTTCGTGAAACTTGTCCAACAATATCCAACAACAATAAGGTTAGGGCTTTATGAAGTTTGTATGATACCACTTGTCGGGTCATGTTGCACTTTACTTCCCATTTTTGTTCCCATGTGACTACATGGGAGGAAAAAGGAGAAGCAAAGAAAACAACTTTGGATCACATACTCATTGAAGCTAAGTATATTTATCAATGCTCTAAAAATTGTAAAGCATGATAAGGATTCCAATGCAAACATCAAGATTTACGAACTTAAACGTACTTCGGAGTTATAAGCCATTTATTTATTTTTAATATTATTTGAAGATTATTATTAATAATATTTTTGATTATTTATTTAATTTATTTAACTTAAAAATTATAAAATAAAATAAAGAGTGTGCACCTTTTGGCGCCACAAGGCTCGCATTAATCACTTCTTTTGCCACCTAGGCCCCCATTATAAATCGTCTTTTCCTCATGCCTTACACTTAGGTCATACTCCTGCCTTTTCCTACTTTTTAAAATCAACCATGATGTATGAACATAAAATTTGATATAATGATTGACATAATGCTACGTGGCATTTCATCATTAGATTGTTTTAAACACGATCAGATTTCACATCCAATCACCTCCCGCCATGTTGTATCCTGTCACTGCATCCAGCCAATTCCTCTGACAAAGTAGTATTATTCTTTTAAAATACTATATTTCTTCCTAAATGTGTACTTGCATGGAGGAAAGTTTGAAGAGGATTGGATGTTCGTTTGATTGGATTTAGAGTGGCACTAATAATCTAGAGCGGATAGTGACTATGAAAGTTTTCGCAAACTTTAAAAACAAAATAATAATAATAATAATCTCACATGATCGTATGGTGACAATAAGCAAGACTTGTTTGGCCCCCATTATTTGGCATTTTTGATAGTTGAAAATTTTTGGAATAGTAATTGATGGGAGAATGTGTGGTGGAAAAGTAATGAAAA